GTGTATTCCATTAAATTCATATGTTAATTAATCTAAAATATTATATTATAAAATTACTCTTGTTAATCCAGGTTAAACTAATTTACCATCGGCACTGACTTACTCTATATTAGGAACATCAAATTGTAATTCAATGATCACCCATTCATTATTTGGTCCAGCGATAGTTCTCTTACTTAACCAATAATCTGAATTTGTTGGATTCTCTCCCTTATTAGTCATATTGATTGTAGTATTTATTTAAATCAATCCAAAAATTTGGATTCTCTCAAGTTTTAAGCTTCAGGTCCATTCCAATTCCATTCAGCAAATGCATTCAATATATTTTTGAATCCTGATCCCATCAAAGTAGTTGGTGAAAATAGTCTTAAATTTTGATCTGGTTCTGTGCTAAGGAAGTTCAAGACTCCAATGTTAAATAAGGGGCACCAATATCCATTCCATTATTCTTATATCCTGCAATATGCTGCACTTGGACCGAAATATAAATTATTACCAATAGCCTAGCCTTTTTCACCAAAGAAGCTACCAGTCTAATCTTCAATTAAGAAGTTAACTTAACCAATGCATTCCATTTGACCACAACCTCCATACCATCCTAATTTAGCATAATTTGGATTTCTCAAACTATACAGTAATGCATTAAATTCACAATTTTAACATATTTTATTAGTCAAGTAATGTTGACCAACCACATCCAATGCATAAATATTTTATCTAAAGACAGCATTATTACTGCATTATAGGTGTTAATCATAAGCCAATCTGTATCCATCAAATTAGACATTATCAATATATACTCTAGTATCGATTCTTTGAATTCTGTTAATAATATCTGCATTATTAGATGATCTACTAACAGGTGTGTAGGCATTTGAGGAGACAGAAACTAATTAGAAAGCAACAGTATTAGAGCATCTCAATCCTTCAAAGACAGTACCGATAAAACCATTAGAAACTTAAATGACATTGGCATAATTGTTGGAAGATCCTGGTTTGATGACAACTCCACTATCGGCTTCAATGATTTAGAAGTCCTTCAATTAAAAGGTTTCAGTATAAAAAGAGGCCATAACGCCGACACCTGAGTTATAAGCTTAGAGTTGTTTAACAACATTGCATTTTGTGTTAGATTAGGTTAAATGGAAACATGCCTATACTGTGTTGAAACATTAGTTTGCAAAGAATCCTGCTTAAGATTCATCATCACAGTGAGTAGCCATAATATGGAATCCTGTGTCAGCGGAGCCGATACCAACATTATTTGAGACAAGGATGAAATTCTTTGTTATCTTGGTGCCTGAAGCGTATCTGAAGGAAGCTTAGACAGCCTAATTATAGGTGCCTGTTAGAGCAGAATTGATTGAAATTACTCTCTTTTATACTAATACCATAGTATTGTATTAGAATTTAATATATTTGGAATTAATGAATTGAACCATGGCTTTTTATCCATTTTAAAATACATTATGGACGGCATTAACTTATTCTGAATCCTCTACTTTAAATAAGTAACCTTCACTATCATGGAACGAACATCCAATAATATCACTAGACGGAGCTGGATCACCATCAACAGCACTTTAGAAATCTAAACCTGCAAATTCTTTATTCACTTATCCAACATTAATAAATTCAACACCTTATAATTATACATATCTTCTACTTAATCTTGTCCTTTCAGTAAATGAATAAACTAAGACGCTAGCTCCCCAAGTTGCACCAGAAATTCTAATATTTATAGTCAAATGTAAAACTGTTGCTCTGGTATCGACAAGTAGTTGATATTCCATTATGATTGTATTTAAAGGAAACGCTAAAGATTACTGTAGTTCCAACAATTTAAGAAATTTAAACTTTTCAGCTTCGTCTGGATTGGCACCTGTGGGTAAGATAACAATCCAATCTCCAACTTACCAATCTGTAGTGTCTGTCACAGTAATTGAAATAGATCCAGCTGATGCATTTGCTGTTAATCTAGCAACCTTACTTGATGGTACTTTACCATATAATTCTATTCCACCTGTAACAGCTAAAAACATTGCTTTCGGCCCCAATATTATTATCAATTAATAGTTCATAATCACTTGAAGTATCGGTAAGGATAATATTAATTATACCAGTATATACTTGAGTAATACTTCCTGCAACTAATTTACCATTTCTTACAAAGATCTTTCTTGCTTTTATTGTAGTAACTGCTCTTCCATTATCAAACCATAATTCTCCTAGAATTAAAATTGAATCAAATTCTGGCAATTCTATGTCAATAATGATAATGAATTCATAAGATATTGTTACATTTTCTCCTGCTATTGGTAATCTACCATTTGGCCAAATTGAAACGTCTGACCATTTCTTTTGTATTTTTACAAAAACGTCCTCAGTATATGCAGGACAAGTCTCCCTGCAGAAGATTCCATATAGTGCAACTAAATCTTGTTGTATTCTTTATTTGCCAGAGATACAAATATAAAAGAATAATGTAGTTCTATCATTAAACCAGTCACTATTGTTACAAGTATTTGGATTTGGAATTTCTGAAACTTAACTGTAATTTGAAAGAAATTTGTGATTTCTGTTCCTATAAACATCAAAGGTTTCTTTTTAAACAGTATAGTTGAATCTGAATACAAGACCAGGTTCTTGAGAACTCATGTATTAAGATGACATGATCGATAGAGTTAACCAATTGTTGTACCAATTTATATTATATGTTTATCCCAAATCAAATTGAGATGCATGACTGTAAGCAAAATCTCCACTCCAAATTCCAATATATTATTCATATTAATATTTTGTTAATTTAAGCGGTAATTGATCATTCAAAGAGGGAACTCTATAAATTCTTAAAGCTTGATTGACATGAGAATCATAAGGAGTAGGGTAATTGAATACAACATCTCTTAATTTTGTTTATTATGAATCGCAAATCAAAGAATTATCCCATTATACAGTATTTTAATATGTACATTAATTCAAACCATCCAAATGCAATTTATATGCAACAATTTAAGCTCCAGTTGGTATATTAGTTAGAGTACCATCTAAATCCCAAAAGATTTCTCTTCTGAAATTGTTCCAATAAATAATTCTTGCACTTGCAGAATTTATAATCTTAATTCCTTTAAAGTGAGTCTCCTGTTACCCAAACCAAATAATTATTGAGGCTGAACATGATTCAATCAAGGTTGATGTACCTGGGAAGTTTGCAAATCTGACTGTGTCAGCCAAAAATCCATTTGTTCTAGGAACAATGAAACCAGTATTAGTTTATGAACCAACAATAACAAATTTCTAATAGTGGTACCTTCAGCTGAGAAATTAGCTTTATGTTGTTGATAACCAGCAATTTTTGAACTTGCAATCAATACGTTTTCAATCAAAACATTTCCTAAATTATCTGCTAAAACACCAACTTAAGCATTTGCCCATGTTATAAATCCTCATAAATTAGTTTAGACACTTGGATTAGCACTAAATATCTAATGCATCATTTCTATGAGAAATACATGGAGCAACCTTTGGGATCAAGGTTCCAATTCTTAATCCAATTCTTCCTGTTGAATGAGCGGCGTTATTAGTAAAGTTCAACAATGGTACACCAGTTGGACAAACATCACTTGTAGATGCAACACCAGAAGGGTTTGATTTAAATGCTAAATAGAATCCATACCATTCTGCTCCACCTAATCTATTATTGAAAAATGTATTCTTAGGATTTGTAATCCAGAAGGCTGCTGCTCTTGCATCTGATTGATATAATTACCAAGATGATTTAACGACAGCTACAAGATTGTGTTTAAAAGTGTTGTACATTTCATTACCATTTTAAATGTAGATAGCATGGCCAACAATGTTGTAGCAAATGTTATCTGTAACTTCCAAATGTGATACACTTTACAATCCTATGCAATGAGCATTTGAATTGTGAATTGAATTGCTTCTAATATATGAGTTTGAAACTACTCCATTATTATTGAAATTAATTGGGAATATATTTAAATATCTTTTTTGGCCACCATTTACTATTTCTACATTTTCAATTATTGCTTCAGTGCCTTCATTTTGTGTTCCTTAAATGTAAATATGAACTCTATGATAATTCATTTAATCACCTTAGATTCTTATAGTTCTGGTCAAACATCCTACCTCCACCTTTCTTGAGAATTCAACTCCATCAAAATGTTCTGAGACTGTTTCATGAATATAATTCAGAGTCTCATTCAAAGTCAAAGTTCTTTTATCACTAGAAATTGAAACAATTTTCTTAACTTCAACTTCGCTTTAGGCTTAATTGCTGGATGTAATGATTATTTCATCTCCAACCAACCAATTTACTGGTTCATCTACAATTACAGTACCGTTATTAGTGGTTGTTTAGGATAATAAAGTCCATGATGGTGTTCTATCTTTACCATGAATATCGATTTTGCATCGATTGCAATCAATCATTTTATTACCCATATTTGGATATTATATCCCTCTTTCCTCACCTCTAATTGTAATTTTAACATTATGTTAATGTGGAACAGCTTAAGTACCAATTTAGAAAGTTCCTCTATTAATAACAAGATATTATGCATCTAAAAAAGTATCAGCATCATCTGCAAATACTAAATTACCCTCAACCAAAACTTGCACTAATTTTGGAGTATGTACATCGACAATCAAAGTTGCACCTTGATAAACCATAACAGAATCTCCATCAGATGGGAAAACGTATCCTCCCCAAGTCTATATATCTGACCATCTTTATCCATAAATGACTTAAGCATTATTAACTGCCTCATCTCCATCTACAACAACTTTGAAATTGTTAGTCACACTAGCAGTTGTAATATCTTTCAATCCACTTAAACATTTAATTTAAGTAGCAGTCACAGATTAAATTTAGCATTCAATGTAATCAATAAATACTGAGGTTGATCCTGAGATGAAGCCTGTACCAGTGATGGTAATGACAGTTTAAGTATGAGGGGGAATATCTTTAGGTAAGACATTAATAATAACAGGTGTAGCAGATGTATCATAAGTGACACTAGAATTTATAACACTCATTGAGTCATCGTCAACAAATATTTCAGTATCACAAGAACTACTAGTCTCATTATCTGAATCATTCTCAAGCCATCCTCTAAAATCCATATCAGCAATTTAGCATCTAAATCCACTAGCTACTCTTGGATCTATGAATTTAATAGCTCTGATGCCATCTAAATCAATATTCTTATTGTGATATTCAGGTTCATCATCTTCATCTCTACCACCATGAGAATTTTTTTATTTTGAATTTTCACATTTGGTGGGTCTTTCAACATTCCATCCTTTATGAACATCATCATCAATAGTGAACTAATCTTTAAAGGTTACACCATCAGTAGAATATTAGAATTTAGCTCCTTTCAGATAAGAAGCTCCAACATCAATTCTAGGTAAGAAACTAAGGTGTTCTAATTTCATTTTTCTGTTCTTTCCAAAATCAATTTAAAAACCCAACAATTTGTAGCTGAATTAGATTTAAGATAAGTAGTTTCAGATTCATCATAGAATCTTTTTACAACTCTTTTATCTGTAACATCAGAAGTCACCCTGAATTCTTCATGATCAAGTTTGTAATTTTTGGATTACAAACCCTTTTATCCTTTTTTAGCCCATGCTGGGTTAGAATCTGGTACTCTACATTATATACTGTGATAATTAACATTTATCAAATCATATTTCTTTCCACAAACTTTAACATTATGACTCTTATGGAAACCATGACTATGAATTTCTAAATGTTTTCTTCCTTTACATGATGCCTTAGGTAACGGTCCACTCAAAACTGGATTTTAAAAAATAATCTTCTAGTTTTACCAGGTTGTCCATAATGCAACTTTATCATCACATTTAACAACAATATCAAATAATCCTAAAGGAACATTAGCGAAGGAAACTTGAATTAATGTAGCATTATTAGAAACAATAGTTCCAACAATATCATCAAGACCATCTTTTTCTAAACGGATATTCAATGTTGTAGCACCCAAATTAGTACCTAAAATGTTGAAAGTCAAGGTTTCAGTTGATGCATTATAAGTGTAAGAGAAAAATATACAATTCCAGCATTATTATTATTTTAGTTTTCTATCCAGTCTTCTTCAATCTTAAGCACTTCCATGTTCCAATGTATACTTCAATTTCATTATCATCTCCAAATCCACTTCCTTCAATTTCAATATCTTATCCACCTTCTACAATTGTAGTTGTTGAAATTGCTGTAATTTACAATTCAACATTAGTTATCCACATTCCTGTTGCATATCCAGTAGATGAAAGGATTCTTGTCTTGTATTCACCTTAAGGTAAATCAGGTACTGTATATATCAATTATCCAGTCTCTGAAATGGATCCTGTTACTGAGTATTTATCATTGAATACTATGGTTACTGTTTATGAGCTAGTTGTAATGCATTAATTGTTTTTGACTTAATCAACTGTGTAATTTTTTATCTTATCAAAGATGTAATCATTCCAGAATGATAAGTCTCTTCTTGAACTTTTTTCATAACTTTATTAATGACTAATTCCAGAGGAGGCTTTATTCTTTTTGGTTCAGGGTGTTCTCTTTTTTGTAAAATGTATTTTTAATAATCTGGTAATCCAATTTAATCTTCAGATAATAGTCTTGAACCTTCACTTGCAGTGGAATCAGATGGTGCACCACAGGCTAAGGTCTATGTGGAATCATAGGTGAACTCACAATTTCCTTGGCAAATAGAATCAAATAAAATTCTTGTTGTCACAATAACTTATTGAGGAGATGTGTATCTATAATTTTTTGGTGGAGTCACACTATATAATTCTGTTGAACTAAAAGCATCTTCGTCTAAATCACATACAAAATAGATTTCATCACCAATAAATACAATAGTTTCTTAAGGAACAAAATTAAATCCATTAATCTTGATTCTAGTAACTCCTGCATCACTTCCTGATGCATTTTCAATACAAGTTATAACTGTATTGTACTAGAATTTATTGGCATCTCCAGCAGCCGTTGCTTCTCCTACTCCAGCTCTATTCACAATAAATCTGTATTCTCCTGGTAGACCTCCTCTTAAATAAACAACAATCTCATCATCCTTTCCATTAACAACAGGACGTTCATAAGTTTTCTCTGCATTTACTAATTCAACTGTAATATCAGAAATGACCGATCCAAATCCAGTACAAATAATAGTGTTGAATCCTTTGTAAATTGGAGTTAATATTGTCTCTTATACTCTAGTGATTGAAATATGAGTTGTATGATCATAAGTAAAATCAGGGTTTTGAGCTTGCCTATCCTTAAAATGCAAAATAATTATTGAATCAGGCATTGATTAATCATATGTTGGAGTCTTTATAACCACTTAGTTACTTGAGGTTGATTTGATGACAGTCTAAATTCCTCCAAGATTAACAGTTAATTCTGATGTAATTTCTTTAGGGAATCCTTTACCAAATATAGTAACAACAGTGCCACCATCTTCTGATCCACTTGTAGGAGTGATGTGTGTTATTATCAAAGGAGCTTAATATGGAAGCACATTTGGATCAACATCAGCATTTCCATATTCTTCATGATGGAATACTGGGAAGTATTATCCATACTCAAATTCTGTTCCATCAACAGTACAAGTGAAATCATATTCATAGTCATCAGTCTTAACTATTGCTACGTCATAACAATCGTAATCACCAAAAGTGATTGTGGATAAGGTATCATTCAAACTATTTCCTAAAGTAGTACTACCCTCTGTTGATATAGCATTTTTAATTTGTGTAAATAATTTAGATGAAACGTATTTGGAATGGGATAAATTGTACTAAAAAGGGATTTAAGAATTAGAACAATAAGAATAACAACAAAAACAAAAGTCTAAATGATAGTAATCATAATTTTCATTTATTCATATTTTAATAAATATTTTAAATGATATATATGAAGGCACTATTTAAATAATAGATTTGATAATAATTAATATAAGCTATAATAATATTATTCTTATTTAAATATAAATCATAATTATTTAATATTTTATTAATTAATTTTGACCTAAGCAATATAAATAATTTTTATTTCATTAGTTTATAATTACTACAATATTTCATCATCATAAACATATTCCTCTGTAGTTGCAAGGAGCCTAAATGTAATAATTTTACAAGAATCATCAGGACCTATATATTTATATTTATTCAATCTAATCCCAATATCTTCATTCTCTTAGATCTCTGTTCTATTTCTATCAATATTTGGAATTAAACAAGCCATATGATTGTCGGTTTATGCAATTAAAATTAGACTCCTTACTTTAGCCTTGACATATTTCCAACTTATCTTAGGAAGTATGCCTGGATTAAATTTATCACCATTCTCAACTTTAGATTTAAGAATATTTTGAAAATCAACTTGTAAATGAAACTAAGTAAAATGATCAATAGCTCTCCCAAAGAAATTACTACTCGCCTCTCAAATAAAACCTCCTATGATTCCACCTATTACAATTCCAATTGGACCATCTGTAGCACCTAATGCCATTCCACCTTCAATTCCTAAATAACCCAATCCTATAGCACTTACAGTTTTTATAGCAATTAACATAGAATTATATACTTTCTCACCTTAAGACAAGAAATCAGACAAGATTACTCCTCCTACTGAAATGCTTGTCATCAATGCTGTTAATCCAACTCCAACATAAGGAACTGCTTTACTAAAAGATTGTACACTTTAAGTATAAATTAAACCTCCTTAAATAGGAACAGAAACTATTAAACCTTTTTCTAATTTTGATGAGTCCATTCCATCCATAATCAAGTCAACAGTCAAACTGCCTATTGTTCCTGCTATTACTCCTCCTAATTACCCTTATATTTTCGCTTATTACAATTGATAATTCATTGCATATGTTTAAATGGGTTACATGTTAAATTTCTCACTTTATCCCTTTATTGATTATTAAAGCTCTTATACTGTAACTGATTAAGTTTGTATTGGTTTTCCTACTTTCTCCCAGTTTTTTGAATATCCATTTTCACCATTACCATTAATTTTTTTCATAAATGTCAATTCATTATTGCTATTTGGATTATGATGCATCAACAATTAATTCCCATCTTAAAGAGTGGCTTCATATGCAAATTAACCATTCTTATTTATTACTTGTTGCACCTGTAGTTTTACCCGGATAAACAGTTTAATTTTACATATAAGATGGGTCTACATTCTAAGTTTTGGGAAATGTAACTGTTGAGTCTTCAGATTGTTTCTTTTTCAAATTTTTTTGTAAGTTTTGTAAATATTCTTTCAAATATTCAATATTGACATTTCCCTTTAGGATCAAAGTACAGATATTGTATCTTAAGGATTTCATGACTTTTTCTACCAGTTCCTTGATCGATTAAAAGAATTATTCGGAGTTTTAATTTTTTTGGTCAATTTTAATAACTTAGGTATATGTATTAGTGAGCAATTCAATTTGAATCAAAATATCAGTGTAATTAGAATGACTTAGAGTTTTAATTTACTCAACTTGAATCCATTCAAAAACATTTACTAATTCCTTATTAATTCTCAAGAAATTTCCTCCATGGATATTTTTTTATCTTTAAATTATACTTATCAAGATATTCTTGCTTAATTTTAAAACTATTTTAAAACAATCCTCTACCAGGTATTTTTTAATTATTATCATTTTTTAGAATCCAAAAAAATTACAATTCTACAACTATTTCTAACACAATTTTTTCAGCATAAGGAGCTTTGATTTTGTAAATTATGAGGGATATGATTTTAGAAAATTATTAAAATTCAGAGAAAGTGTTTTTTAGAAGATATTTAATAAAAGAGAAAAAGATTATTATCAACAACAATTCTAATTACAATCAATTTTTAATATTTTAAACTTTTATCTTTATAGATTCAGTTCTTTATTTTTATCTTAATACTGACGATTATTGACTTAATTCTAAATCCAATAGAAATTTTCAACAATCCTTTTCAATATCTTTAAATAATAATATTACAAACCAATGAATTAATGTATGATCACTTAACCTTCTAAAAAATTTAAACAGAAATTAATAGAAGGACCAACAGATCCCTTATCACTTCTTAGCTTTTATGATCTGAATTTTTTGATGAACTCATCAACCAGTCAATTTACAGTTAGATTAATTCATTAAGAAATTACTTCAATTTCTGAAAAAACAAACTAATGAATTTGCTCTTATGCATATCTAAATTAAAATTCAATTTTTGATATACTTTTTAATTTTTCATCATAATATCCCTTCAAATTACCAGAAAATATTTCTAAACTATGAAAAAATTGAAAAAGTACAAACTATTAATTGCTGAAATATTATTTTCTTTTTTTAGATATCTAATCGAAGCTTTAGTATTATTGCTCTTTCACTATGAAACTCTCTCTCTATATTATTGAAAAAATTATGTATATGCGGGTCTAATTTTACTTACTTTATTTCAGATTTTCTTATATAAAGTCATCAAGGTCAAAAAAATATTAATCTTCAAATATTCCAATCGGAGCAATATAAGTTTAAAATAAAATCTTACATTATTTAGAGCGATATTATTTTTTCTGTGTATATCATCACTTTACAAAGAATCAAAAATTATTTATATTTTAGTATCTGCTAATTAGGAGTATAGTTTTTCAAAAGGTTGTTATTTTTAATGCTAAAATTTTAGTATTTCAAGTAATCATCAATCAATCAGGATATCTTCTCTGAGTCAAAATTAAATGTAATAATTGTAACCAAAAATTCAAAAATAAGATTATTTAAAGTTTACCTATATTTTTGAATATCTGTGTAAAAGGAGATTTAAGTTAGCATTATTAAATAATTTTATTTTAACATAAGTTTTTTTCAAGTTCTTTATAAACTTTGACCATCTTCATATCAAAGTAAATCATTGTATAATTTTATTTTGATATTTATATAATATCATTTTGGAATTGAATTAATTAGAATTGATAATATGGGGAAAATTTGAAATTAAAAAATAAACTTTTTAAGAGAGTATTAGGTGCTAAGGATAATGGGGGAAGGCGAGCAAAATATAGAAACCAAAAATCAAAGCCTATAATAATAAAGCACTAACGTAAAATTCTTGCATTCTTATGGGATAGTAATTTAATGGCTTTATTATAGATTATTATGATAAATTGGATTAATTCGTTGAACTTGTACTTTCCTTATGTTTTGAGTCTCCTGCCTTTTTTGTCTTTTCCTAGTCGTTTACTAATGAACCCAGATTAGTATATTATGATGATTAATCTAATGGGCGAAATTCAATAATTGCGCCATGAATTTTATATTATTTCAATATATGAATAGTGTCAACTGAATGACTTCTGGAAAACCAATTATTAGTATGTATATATGCTATTTTCTTGATAAATCAACTAATTCATCACTTATTTTTTGATTAATAAATGTATAAATACTCAAAATTTAGATACCCTTCAAAAAAAATTTAATTGAAAAAAAAGAAAATCCTAAAGATAAATGAATGCAAGATAGAAAAAAATTTGATTTTCTAATTCTCAATATAAATAATAATAGTATAAAGAATTTTACAGTAGAATAATTAAAAACAATTTAAGACTCTGAGATACAATTCAAGACTTTTAAATTACATTATTTAATAGTGGAAAGCCTGAAATAAATATCATGAATTAAAATAAGAATATGATGTTACATGAAATTTGATTGATTACGCTATAAAAAACATTAAAGATAATAAGATAGTTAAAGTAATAGAGAAGTGACTTCCATAATTTCAAAGAACTTAGATATAATACAATTCATTTTTATTTGATGTAAAAAACAATATATTCTTTAATATTTTTCCAAAAACCAGTTTCTATTGTTCTAATGCTGTTTCATTAAAATTGAGTCTTTCTTTTTTTTAATTCTGATTTTCAAAAGTTGATTTTGAAAATTAATAAAACAAATACCTGATCTATTTCTAAAATAAAAATTGCAATTTTAAGTATAAATTGTTATATCTAATTATGAATATTTTTAGAATTAAGAAACTTCAGCTAATTTTCGTCTCGCTAATAAATTAATCATAGAACAAGACTATTTTAAATTTCTTGAGTCTTAAATGCTAAAGATATTTTGATAAGTTTATGTTTTTTTCCCCATCTTTTTTTTTAAATGAGAAATTTAAAAAAATAGACAAGTCAGAATGAAGCCTGTTTTAAGAATATTATCAGTATTGTAGATGTAATTGTATTTAATATTTAATGAAATGCCAACAGTTGTGCAAACTTCAGTTGCCATGTATGTAAAGTCAAAGTTTTTTGCTTATGTCTCATCTTGAATTGATTGGTAAAATATAAGAAAATATGACCCAATTTTATTATTTTAAATATGTCTCAGTTTACCTTGGTTCTTTTAGTTTATTTTAAATATCAAAAATTTAATTTCAAATTTAAAGATAAGCAATAAATTGTAAAGATAATGTGTTAAATATTTAAATTATAAATAAAAATTAAAATCAAGCCTTAATTATTAAATGTAAATTATAATATTTATCTGAACTTTCAGATATCTTATATATATATTATTCATCATCTTTTTTTAATTTTTTATGACAACATGAATTGATTTGATTTTTATATTTTTGTTGACAATATTTTAGTATTTTAATTGATTTGGGGAAATTATTATTTTATAAGAAAAACTCATATGAAAGATTTAACAATATCAAGTAGTGAAAGTAAATTTTCAGCTTAACAAAATATGATGCAAAAACATTTCTTAATTATGGTATTCTTAAAATACAATTAGAAAGTTTAAGATAGAGAAAAGTGCTTTTTTGTGGACATAAACACATAAATAATCTAAATTAATGAAACTGAATAAAAGCAACAGTCTTCAGATTTCAAGTAACTTGATTTAAGTGATTCAATTCTATTTATATTAATTAGAAATTCTAATTTTATTTAATCAATTATCGATGCAATATTAATTATGGTGAGATTTTCATTTTAAATTATTAAAAATCAAGAAACTCCAAATATCGTTTGCTCCTTTGATAATATTAGATATATTTTCAATCTCCCTGATGGATTTTAAAGATTCACAAAGGATAATTATGTCAAAATCAACCCTGGACCTAGAATATTTTTTACAAGATTAAGCACCCAAACAACAACTGGTTGTTTTGGATATTTATCAACATTATTGTAGTAAAATAGTGGAATAAGTACAAAAATTTATGGGCCTAAAGGGCTTTGTAAATTAATAAATATGAAAAGATTTAATGAAATAGGAGGATTTAAAACTTTACCTTATTCTGTTTAAGAGTTTAATGGAAAATGCTTATTAGGAACAAAAGATACGAAGTTAATTGAAGAATTGATGTAACAGAATGATTGCAAGTTACAAGAGTATCTTGAGAAAATTAAAGAACATATTATTGATCCAAAAGAATCTAATAATGCTTCCATCTACATGAAAAATTCAACATTATTTAAGGATGAAAATTTAGAAATATAAGCTATTGAGATAAATGATACAATTCAATACATTATTTCATCATTCCCATAACCAGGAAACTACAATAAAGAAAAATTATCATAATTTAATGTTCCATCAAACAAAATGTAAGAAATGTAAAAGAATGGTAAAGTTATCTTAGAAGACGGTTAAATAATTACAATCGATTAGGTTAAAGAACCTAGCATAATTCCATAGAAAGCAATTATTTTGGATATTGCGAATCATGAATAAATGTAGAAATTGATATGTAATGTAGAATTCAAAAAAACTCTAGAATAGTTTAATTCATAATAGATCAATTTAGTTGCTATTTTTCATTTATCTCATTAAATTTAGGAAGAATACTATAAAGACTTTATTAGACAATACTCAAACTTCAATCATATTTTCTGTAACTATTATAAGGAAAGCAATGATGATATTTGTTAAGCACATATGAAAATCTAACCTTTATCAGAACTTTTATCAAATTTTTTACATTAATCTTTTCCTTTTAATTTTCCCCATATTGAATAGTAAATATTAAAACCAATACCAAAAGATTTTCAAAATTTAAATTCGATGTTTGGTTACGTTCCTCTTTTTGAATATGTTATTCTCCCAATAAAATAATCAGGCTANATTAGATATATTTTCAATCTCCCTGATGGATTTTAAAGATTCACAAAGGATAATTATGTCAAAATCAACCCTGGACCTAGAATATTTTTTACAAGATTAAGCACCCAAACAACAACTGGTTGTTTTGGATATTTATCAACATTATTGTAGTAAAATAGTGGAATAAGTACAAAAATTTATGGGCCTAAAGGGCTTTGTAAATTAATAAATATGAAAAGATTTAATGAAATAGGAGGATTTAAAACTTTACCTTATTCTGTTTAAGAGTTTAATGGAAAATGCTTATTAGGAACAAAAGATACGAAGTTAATTGAAGAATTGATGTAACAGAATGATTGCAAGTTACAAGAGTATCTTGAGAAAATTAAAGAACATATTATTGATCCAAAAGAATCTAATAATGCTTCCATCTACATGAAAAATTCAACATTATTTAAGGATGAAAATTTAGAAATATAAGCTATTGAGATAAATGATACAATTCAATACATTATTTCATCATTCCCATAACCAGGAAACTACAATAAAGAAAAATTATCATAATTTAATGTTCCATCAAACAAAATGTAAGAAATGTAAAAGAATGGTAAAGTTATCTTAGAAGACGGTTAAATAATTACAATCGATTAGGTTAAAGAACCTAGCATAATTCCATAGAAAGCAATTATTTTGGATATTGCGAATCATGAATAAATGTAGAAATTGATATGTAATGTAGAATTCAAAAAAACTCTAGAATAGTTTAATTCATAATAGATCAATTTAGTTGCTATTTTTCATTTATCTCATTAAATTTAGGAAGAATACTATAAAGACTTTATTAGACAATACTCAAACTTCAATCATATTTTCTGTAACTATTATAAGGAAAGCAATGATGATATTTGTTAAGCACATATGAAAATCTAACCTTTATCAGAACTTTTATCAAATTTTTTACATTAATCTTTTCCTTTTAATTTTCCCCATATTGAATAGTAAATATTAAAACCAATACCAAAAGATTTTCAAAATTTAAATTCGATGTTTGGTTACGTTCCTCTTTTTGAATATGTTATTCTCCCAATAAAATAATCAGGCTATAGACCAGTTTAAAATTTTTCACCAAAAGTCCTCTCTCAAATGTTTACAAATAATTAATTCAAAAACTTTTAATAATAATTTTTATAAAAAGTCAAAGATCACCTAAGATTAATATTTTTAGGTACATGTTCGATGAAGCCAGGATAGTTAAGAAATGTCTCTGGAATAATTTTGGTGAATGAGAAATTAAAATCGAATATTATTTTAGATTGTGGAGAAGGAACATTTAAATAGATCAGCGATGAAAATATAGTGCTTAATGATAAACCACTGATTATTTGGATAAGTCATGCTCATAGTGATCATCATTTAGGTTTATTACAAATTATATATAATTTGAGTAATAGCCATTAGGATATATATTTAATTGTGCCTGCAATAGTAGTACCTTGGTTGATATTTTTCAAGGAAATTTTAGGAGAATAATCTAAATGGAAAATTATTGTATCATAATAATTTGATGAAGATTTTAAAGATGATGTGAATTAACTAATTAAAGATTGTTTCCACTAATGTAGAATTAGATAAGGTGAATAAGTATAAATAGTTGAAAATTAAAATTTCATCAAAAACTATGAAGATCTTGTCAATTGCTTAAAAGATTAATTTGAATTAGATTCGATTAGAGTTACACCTGTAGAGCATTGTCCATAATCTTATGGAGTAAGATTAAATCTATGTGATGGGAGATCTTTGTCTTATTCTGGAGATACAAGGCCATGTGAAAGATTTGTAAAATTATCATAAAATGTTGACATTCTAATTCATGAATCTACATTTACGGATGATTTGTAAGAGAATGCACTTTAAAATATGCACTCTACGATTTCTGAAGCTGTTAAAGTTGGTATGCTAGCTGATGCAAAAGTTATTGCCTTAACTCATTATTCTCAGAGATATTCAAGATAGATGGAAATTAATTAAGAAATTTTAGGCAATGAAAAAATTGTATTTTCATGCGATCATTTTGGAGGGTATTTAAATGATTATTCAACATTAAGCCAAATAAGTAAAGAGATTATTTAGTTATTTAATGAATGAAATAAATATAAATAATGATCAACGTTAATCTTTTTATTTTGATTCTTAGTTTATACACTAGAGACGAATCTCTCTAAATTATGAAAGTAGCTTTGAAATGTCCAAAAATTCTTCTGTTTCCATATTCTTATCCTATTGCAAGGACTAAATTTAAGTATTTGAAACATTTTTCAGTCTTTGCCTAAGGGTGTTAAAGGCAGACCCTTATGGTAAAAGCATCATTAAGCCGAACAAACACTTCATTAAAAAAGGATGAGAATCATATTCTAATAATTGTAACCTTAAAACTTAAATATTAATTTATATTACAAATAAACACTGGTGTTTCTAAAACATTAATTAATTGGGCTATTTCTGATAATATACATTCATTAACTTCAACTTCTGAAAAACTAATTATTATTTTGTAAGCTAACTCGTATTCCTCAGATAGTAAACTTAGAGTAATCACACTCATTGAATTGTAACAAAACGTCTTGTAAAGTGTCTCAAAGATTTCTTAATTATGTTATCTTTGTTTTTCATCTTTTTCATGTTTTAAATTCCTAAGTATGTTTCTTAGATTTTATAGCTCTTTTTCTGATATTAACAGGTTGGTTAATATTTGAACAGTATTGCTGATGAAAATTACATCATTATTTGAATACATTTCTAATAATTTAGCTGTTATTGTGAAATAAACCTTTTATGGATTTAGAAGTGAACATAACTTTTTGAATATTAAGTCTCCTTTTTTTTCAGATTATTCTTAAATTTTATGGAGCATAATTAATATTTTGTCAATTACAATTTCAAAATATTGGCTGTGCATTGATATATTTGCCAGCACATCCATAATGTTTTAGACTATAGCAGATTCAGAATCAGCCAATTTATCAATAAGCTAGCTAATCTTATTATAAATACTTTTGTTAATATATCTTCTATTGTTGGAAAAAGGGACTCAGAATAAATTTCTAATAAGTGTTTCATCCATATTAATGCTGATTCAGCTGTATTGCTTTTTTTATCAGTTAACATTTCTTTAATTGTTGGTACAATATTTATAAACTCTATTGATTAATTTTTTACCCTCTCCATAACCTTTAGTAATAATTCATTCGTCTTCTAAGCCGCTTTCCTTATTTCTTCCTCTTCATGAGAAAGTAAAATTAGGATTGGGCCCAAAATTTAACTTAAACTGTTCAATATAGTTTTTCTTATAGGCGATTCGAATCCTCCCAAATATTATTGCATTTAATTTTTTTATATAGGAGATGTATTGCTTCTTAAATATTCTTCTGATCTTACATGAGATGGGGAATGCTATAGCCCAAGTTTACCTTTTTATTCCTCTTCTAATTCTTGTTAGAACACTCTTAAATATTCAAAAATCCATAATAAGGAATTTAATTTGGCATAATTATTCTGGTTTCCTTTCATTTAACAAATTTTAAGTAAAATCTCTATGATTTATTCATTAACTCTTTAATCCAGATTGACTTTAATCTCTACTTATTTCAAAAATTCATTAGCTTATAAGTCTGCTCCATTACGAACTTCCCTAATAATACTCATTCAATTTACTTGTTTGATTCTCCTAACATCATGAATATGCCTTCCAATATCATAGGAAAATAAATATATAAATCATTGTTGTGACATTGATTTAAGAATTTTATCCATCCAAGTAGAAATTATCGAACATATGTAACTCTAGTCTTCAATTTGCTTTATAACTAAATCATAAAAGAGTTTAAGTTAAAATAGCACAGTTTTCCTGGATCTAAAAATTTCTCTTGAACTGCTATTTACACTTGATTCTTTAATTATTGATCTAATAAGAACATGGCTTAAACTATTTAATTCTCCTATTCTGCTGATCTTCCCAATTGATAATCAAATATTTCATTAAAATTAAGAAGGATCATAGTTTTCATAATCTTTGTCAATTACAGCAAACATTCAACAGCATATTATCTAACCTTATCTTCTTTATCATTTAAGCATTCTAAAATTGGTTAGGTTAAGTCTTTTACACATCTCTCTGCTAATTGTGGATACTATATATAAAATTTCTATTACTTCTTTCACTAGAATTTCTGCTACAGTCTGAAGTGCAAACATTCCTTATCTCTTTATGTATAATTATGAAGAAGACGTAAATTTAATTTTTAGTGTCTCTATAATTTATTTGATTAGCAATTCTTTTCCGCTTTAAGCATAAGATTGAACTAATTATTTTAATTATTAGCATCCTAATTGTTTCTTATCCTAGCTTTTATCTTATAATAGTTTTATAATTTGTTAAGGTACTACATTGTCATCCATTTGAATATTTTTTTGGTCTATATATTTAATAATGAAATTTCATTTATTATAATTGGCAAATTGAATAATAATGAATGAATTTACAATATAAATATATGCACACTATTAATTGGTGGGCTCTTTATTTCTTGTTTGATTCCAATATCAAATACTAAGATTACTCCTTTTAAAGTTAATAGAATCGACATTAATGGATTATAAAAAAAAAGATAAATTTAAATAGAAAATAACTAAATTTGAAGCTGAAGTTTAAATTTTATATATAATAAACTATAAATATATTAATAAACTAGGTTATCAATAGAATTGATAAATGAATAAATTATCATATGAATGGATTGCTTTCTTTTACTTTGTCAAATAATTCATGATATTTTTCTAATCCTTTCACATCATCCTTTGTTGGTACCTAAACCAATACTACACTAGTAGGCTTTTTAGTTTATGCAGCAGCTCCTTTATAGATAAATAATTTAATATTACCTAATTCTAATCTGCTTCTCACATAAATGTAAGGAATTCCTAATTCCTCGCATTAAATTGGCAAATGTGATAACACATCAACAGGACTAATATCAGCAGCAAATACAACAATTCCAGGAGTCTTCTTTCTTAATGCCTTTCCAACTTCTTTTACTCCTCTTTTAATATGCTTAATAGTTATTTCTAAAAGATCAATCAAGGAATACATCTAGCAATAAATCTAAGAAGCCCTTTCTATAATTTACTATTTGCAATGGGATTTGCTATTGGAGAGACATAAAATGTTTATTCTGCTTCTGTCATAAATTAAAATTATAAATTACCATAAATTAAAATAAAAGGACCTATTAAGAAGAATTAGAATTTCTTTATTTAGAAAATTACCTAGAATACAACTCCAAGAGTTGTCCAACTTTTTTTCTTATCTTTGCAGTTAATTATATTTTCATAGAAAACTCATTAATCAGGAGCTTCTAATCAAATAATCTCAAAAATAGTTTCAATAAAATGAAATACTCTCTCATTAACTTTATGAACAAATTATTTAATCATTATAATTAAAAGTCTTTTATGTTGCCATTGTTTTGAATTTGAATAGATAAGTAGAGCTTTTTCTTGATAACCAGCTTCAAGTTGTTGATTAGCTATTCAAATTGTAAAAGGTGAAGTTAACGAGATATTTAAAAGTTTTGAGTTGATGATTATTTCATTAGAGAAATGGCTCGCATTTTCAAGTAAAAAACAAAATAAAAAAGTGTTAAGAAAAAATCGAGTTGTTAAGTTGGCATATTTAAAGGATGTAAAATTATAATGCAGAATATTCATCTAACCAAAGATCGAAAGCAAATAAATTTTCACGTTAAATCAATGATTATAATTTATTAATGGTTATGTCTTTTTTAAAGCTATCAACTAAAAAGATATTATTTAAAACATTTTTTGTAGTTTCTGTTTTTAATCCAGATATTATCTCTCATAATTTAAGAAGATTTAAGATTTCCTGCAACTTAGAAGAGATACTTTTTGAAATGTACTTTTAATAGATGAACTTACTTCTTTAATGGCCATTTAAATATTTCAAGCTTTTTACTTTAAATGTTTATTCATAACCCTTCCTTTTTATATCTAGTAATAACTGCTTATTCTTTTTTTGATCTTGTGTTCCATTAGGAAAGTTAAGTAATGACTCAAAAAATGCATAATTTATTAGAATTGATATTGATAGGTTTATAAAATTCAACTAGTGCTGCCCTTGAAATATAACTAGAAATAATTTAATCAATTACATATTTGTTTAGTAATTCCTTTTATACTATTTCCAATTACAATAAAGAATAATACGAGCATAATGATTCAGTTCCCTAATTAGTAAAAATTTCTATTAAATCCTCATCTTTAAGATTTCGAATTCAAATGCAGTGAAGTGCCTGAAATTTAGTATTATTAGATTAGAACGCAAGTAAATTCAAAACATGCCTTAATAAATTGCTAGTTATTGTGAAAATAAAGTGAACTAGATACTTTACAACTAAAATAATACTTAATATCACAATCAATCAATTTTTTCAAGTTTTCTTTAATTCACAGTCAATGTCTAATCTAGATTACATTTCCAATATCTAATTTATAATTTCAATATTCATACAACTCTCTAGTATTTGAAATATTTGATTAATGGTATTTTTGAAAGAGAATGTGTTTATGATTTGAAAACTTCTTTTTATTTTTTCTTCAATTGCTGATGATACTTCAGGACAATAATTTATAAGCTCCAGAAATACTTTTGAGTTTATGAAGAACTAATAGCCTTGATGCTGTATTATTTTAGCTTAGATTGTATCCCAGATGATATTCTGAAGTATTTAACTTAAAGTTTTAAATTAAGTGATCAAGGCTCCCAATAAGATGATACCAATCAATCCATTTGAATTGACAACTTTATATTTGTTTTGATTAATCTGTAGGTTTACTTAAGAAAATCAATTTTTTTTAAACATATAATTAAAAAATGTCGATTATGAATCACAAGAAGTCTTAATTAGAAAAAGGTACATCTTAAGAAATGGAATACAAGTTTAAAATATCACTATTTAACATCATGCATAATATCATACAGAATAATTTATGTAACACTCTCATCTATTGTGTGTTGTTAAGCATTGAAAATCTGCAGTTGATGTACTATCCAATTCATCCAGTCATCGATT